CCGCTCTCAAGTGGACGACGTGGTTACCCTCATCTGTCCTCCCGTGCCCCACACGACTGTGGACGAAGATGCTGTCGAAGTATGTCCGTGGATACGTCCGGTGGGGCCAGAACAGCTGCGTCACAAGAAGATTATGTGTTGCTGGTGCATTTGACAGCCCTTGGTACATCACCACCCACACCCAGAGCATGCCACTCGGATTACTAGCTGCGTCAGCGGAATATCACTCGCTCTCATGAGCAATTGGTAATATACATCGACCAAGTATAGTGCACTGTACTTTGTACAGCCAGCCATATTGTTCTGGAGAACATCCGTCCTAGGAATCGGCGTCTGTGCCGGGATGATGGCAGCGTTGAGTTTTTTGTAAGCGTGAACGATACGCCACTTGCCGTTTGCCCCGGAGACAGAACGTGGGTGGCGAATGGGGAGACTTGCTCCCTCGCACCATTCCTGCTGCGTGATTTGTACGGAAGAAGGCGTCAAAGACGTCACACTGCTCCTTGGTTAGGGGACATTGGCGTATTACGCAGTATTTGACTCCCGGAACCAGGTCGATCTCATGACCCACACCTCGGTCGGGAGGTAGGACCGACGGCGGGTCCTTAGAGACGACCAAAAGATAGTACTGTCAATAGGAATCCTTTTGGTTTGACGACCCACTTCGTGCGTTCAGCACCATCTTGGTGTTCTACAGGACATATTTATCAGAAGCGACGACGGGTTTAATCTCCTCGTTCGGTCGTATGAAGACCACCTCGGAAATCGCCTGCCTTCAAGGCACCGCCAAACTCTTTGAAGGACATCTCGTCCAGCAAAGAAGAGCATCCACCGCGGGAATAGCCTCGAGGGTGACGTCGCCGTCTTTCTCTCCCGTCATACCGCTGACAAGGCTGTATAGCTGTGCGCTATCGTCTACGTTAGACATAATCTGGGTGAGGTGCGAAACCCTGTGACTTGCAGATAACATACGGCATCGCCGTCTCCTTTCTATAGAGTTTTTACGTTCCATCGAGACCAGTGGGAACACGCACTCAGCGTCGTCCAGTGTCTTCACTCCCTGCTCCATCGGAGCCTTGATGTTATTTACAACATCCGACGAAGAGCTACTATTTCCGCAGTCTTTGTCCAGTGGATCACGTGCCACTTCACGCGTATTAGAACGGCTTTGCCCAAGATGCCTCGGACCTCGTCCGACCATGCCACTCATGGCATGCAGCGACTTCTTCGAAACGTGAGCAGTGCTCAGTGGGTTACGTTCCACACCACATTCAGCCCGCGAGCCATACTCGGGACTCCTGTCCAATACTCCTTTGGTGTTTGACAACTCGGATACTCCGGTTTCTAGCACGTTGACCATCTCGGTTCAGTGCCCGCGCCAATAGCATTTCTGCCTCCAAACAGAGGTGGGTTCACGACTAGCCAAAGCTTCACCAGGAGATGTGCGCGTAGCGCCTAAAGTCTTTGACCCCCAATCGATCGATGGCTCAAGGTATTCTAACCAGCCATACCAAGGGTGAGGTCATGCCTGAATCCAAGTCTCGTCAACTCATGATATTTTTGGTTATACCTTACCACAGAGGTACACACGGCAAAGAAGGGTAGTTATATTATCATTTCATGCAAGAAACGTGACGACGACGTCGCTTTACACAATTTAAAAAGTCACAAAACGGTTTAGAGTACCGTGAAGTCGACGAGTGCATATTTTTAGGAGTCATTAACAGGTAGTGTTTCTCTGCCGCTTCAAGCTGGCAAGACCCGAACGCAAGTACGTGTTTACGCCATTGGCGTCTGACCTTTGTAGACCGCAGTCGATTATAAAGGCTGGAGCGTCGAAGGCCATATGAAATGGAGGATTTGAATTCGAAAAGTTCCAGCCTTTGGCAAGTATGTGGTCTTTTGGGGTGCGCAATGTGAGGATTTCTTCACAATTGTTAAGGTCGCTTCTCTTGCCACAGCCCAGCATCATTCCACATGGGTTGTATAGGAATTGGTGAGAGGTCGTGCTACGTCGGCATAGTTTGCACTGTTCATGTGCAAGTTGCTGGCGAGGCCTTGCTGATTCCTCAAGTCATTTTGTTTAAAGGCACTGGCGAATCTACCCTGACCTTAATTGCTACGGTCTGTGTCCGCAGGCCCTGCTTCCTGTTGAAGCAGCTTACATAGGGAGCCAAAGAGCCACATGTCTTTATTGGCGAATAGCTTAGGTTTTATGCGCAAGATTCCGAGCGTTGCTTACAATGCGCTATTTAGATCGTCCACATCGGACCTCCAGTGATCTACACGGCTATGGACGAATAAATGCTAAATAGAATTATGTATAGGCACGATGCGGCCTTAATAGCTTCACCACAAGACGATTGTACTTGCTGGCGCGTGGGATAATCTTCGTGGACTTATCAGCCACTCCAAGTGCGTTCCGCTCGGAGTTCTCACCGCATCTGAAAACAATATTACTAGCGGCTGATATCATCGATAAAAAATTATATGATCAGAGACACAGAGCAAAGTCCAGCGAACCGTTCTGTTCTGAACACATCCTTTCTTAAAATCGACGTTTGAATCGACATTTGCCCCAAACTCGGGCTGCACTTAAATTTCTACCACCATGCATCATTCGCAACTTGCCGTTAGTCTATTTGAGAGAATGCCGTCACAGAGTGGGAAGCTGTATTTGCTCTTACTAGAGCTTTGCGCGACAAATGTCCTTAACGACATACTATTGCCTTCGTAATAGCCGTGAACATGTGGTGCAATATTATGTTTTTGGAGTTCACATCAACTTCAGAACACATTTCCTATCCAAAACTGCTATGTTTGTTTTGTATCTTGTCGCCGCGTATTGTCATTATTTCAGCAAAGGAAAAACTTTTTCGCGGGATCCTTGAAAACAGCTTTACAAACGCTCTGTAAGTCTCCTCAATTACAGACCTGTCGATGACAGTTGATAGGCGTTGGTTCTTTCGCAGTACAAATTAAGATATCGCAGCTGCTGACAACATATAAATCGTCTGAGCGCGTTTGCCGTCGTCGCCGCGTTAGAATTATGTGTCTGTGTAGCTCAAACACGCCAAGCACATTTGCAGGTACTTGACACACATGAGTCATTACATCGCAGCTGCCGACGACGTGACCAAAGTCTGAATACATTTAATGTCGTCGACGCTTCAAAATGATGTGTCTTGGTGGATCAAACGCGCAAAGCACATCTGCAAGCAGTTCAAAACGCATATGACATGATATCGCAGCTACCGACGACGAGATCAACGTCTAAATGCGCTTGCCGTCGTCGCCACGTCAGAATGACGTATCTAGGTAGTTGTAACACCCCAAGCACATCTGTAAGTATTTTGACAAATAGGTGACATGACATCGCAGCTGCTGAAAACATGACGAACGTCTTAATGGGTTTGCCGTCGTCGCCAAAATGATGTGTCTGAGTGAATCAAACACGCCAAGCACATTTGCAAGTACTTAGACACACATGCGACATTGAATCGCAGCTGCCGACAGCGTGAAAAACGTCTAAATGCATTTGCCGTCATCGCCGCGGCAGAATGATGTATATAGGTGGTTCTAGCACGCCAAGCACATCTGTAAGTACTTTGACAAATATGCGACTTGACATCGCAGCTCCTGAAAACATGACGAACGCCTGAATGCGTTTGCCGTCGTCGCCAAAATGATATGTCTGTGTGGTTCAAAAACGCCAAGCACATTTGCAAGTACTTAGACACGCATGAGACATTGCATTGCAGCTGTCAACGACTTGACTAACGACTTAATGCACTTGTCCGTGTCGCCGCGTCAAAATGATGTGTCTTTGAGGTTCAAAGACGCCAGGCACATTTGCAAGTACTTAGACACGCACGAGACAGTTCTTGCAGCTGCCAACGACTTGACCAACGTCTGAATGCACTTGTCGTCGTAGCCGCGTCAAAACGATGTGTTTTGAGGTTCAAAGACGCCAAGCTCATTCTAGTAGTTACTCACACATGGGACATTACATCACAGCTGCTGACAACGTGATAAACGTTTGGATGCATTCGATGTTCTCGCCGCGACAAAATGATGTGTCATGGTAAATCAAACACGCCGAACACATCTACAAGCGGTTCAAAACACATGTGACATGATATCGCAGCTGCCAACAACGTGACCATCGTCTGAATA